TGTATGTGACCTTGGAGCTACCCTGCTACATTCCAGGCCTTCAACACTTTGTGCTTTTTCCTGATCCAAGTGAGTCAGAAATTACTATTAGCAATCCCTGCACCCCAGTGTCCCATTCCAGCCAACCCACAGAATAAACCCTCTCATTGGCATTTGTCTGGATGAAGGAGGATGCAGATTTTGGGGTAACGTTAGGAAGAGGCCGGTGGTACGGATTTTCCCTGTGGTTGGTTGCGTTGTTGCTGTTTGTGTAGCTGGGCTGGGCTGTTGAGTTTGACGTGGAAATAATTGAGATTGTCCAAGGAATGTGGCAAGTTAAGTTTCAAGGATGCTGGTCAGATAAAAATACAAGCATTATGAGACCTCAGTGCAGCTCCTATGGAATGCCTGACTGCTTATTTGTGAAGGGTTAGGGAGGAATTATAGCTGGTTTTATTACGGCCGTCAAGGTCTTCTCTCCGCTGCTGTGTTAACGACCGATGTAGCTTTCTGTTTCTCTGTAAGCTGGTACGTGCTTTGCAGCAGGGGGGTAGGGGGTGTCTTCATTCCGCTCTGTCACCTGGAAAGTGGTTTTGGGAGTGTTAAAATGGAAAGGTTTTTTAATTTCTAAGTTGCTCACAGAAAGAACGTTTTCTCTTCAGAATGCCCCAAGAAAAGCTTAACATTTAAAGTCCCGATGCTTTTCTGGTCTTGGGATTAAACTTGAGCTATTTCTGTCCTGCTAGAAGACCAGGTTTGCACCGTTCTGCTGTTCCTTACACAGGCACCGCTGGGTTTTTTGCATGTTATATTAGCAGTCAGTTTGCATTATTTTTACCTATCATAGCTATTGTGGACGTGGGCACAGCCACAGAAATATTGGTGCTTACTGGTCTCTGCTTTGTTCCTGCAGAAACTCATCCCTAACAGATCTTGTTAGGGTTTGGGTTTCTTAAACTCATTTTAGACTGTAGTCTTCTGGTTTGGCATTGTGACTGCATTTTTGGGTTTTGAGCCACTTGACGACAAAGATTTCTCTGTCTTTTTCTTAAGTTATCAAGAGCCAGTTGCTTGGAACCTAACAGCGTCGATATGCTTATTAGTGTGTTTTTCCTTTTGTGTTTGCTTTTAAAGAAGAGTTGCAGAAAGGAGCAGAGGGTGACATGGCCATAGATGAATCTTCTGGGCATTTGGGCTACTCTGAAAATGCATCCGTTCATTGAGAGGCTGAGTCTGGGTGAGTAACTCCATTTGCATGCCTGCCAGTGGGGAGCGCTCCCCTTGCTGGACATGCCCATCTGCACAGGGACAGTTTGTCTTGCTGCTCCTAAAGAGTGCTGGTGTTTTAATTATCATTCTGTTATGTACTTATTTATTTTATAAATAATGGCCACATACTGAGAAGGAGCGAGTAAACAGTGTGCATCTGTGTGCTCTGACCACAACTGCAACGTGTTGGCCAAGCCACCCAGGAGCAGGGTTTGTTACACCAGCGTGACCTTCTAGGCTGCCATGGGTGGTGGGGGTTCCTGTGTGACACGGTCATTCCTCTCAATTTGCTGCAATTACAGCCTTTGCCATAAGATCCAGGAGTCCCACTTAGACAAATGGTATGTGCCCTGCACCAGACCCCGTAGGAAATTTTGGGTAGGGTTTTGTAGAATGACTAATAAACTCTGCTGGCGGGATGCTCATGTTGACCCATCCTCCTGCCATGGGTCTGCAAAGTCTTGCCAGGAACCTGATCCAGCTCAGGCTTCCCACGGGATCACAGCCTCCTTCCTTCAGGCATCCACCCGCTCCGGTGTAGGGGGTCCTCCATGAGCTACAGGTGGGGATCTGCTCCCCTGTGGACCTCCATGGGCTGCAGGGGGACAGCCTGCCTCACCATGGTCTTCACCATGGGCTGCAGGGGATATCTGCTCCAGTGCCTGGAGCACCTCCTCCCCCTCCTCCTTCTCTGACCTTGGTGTCTGCAGGGCTGTTTTCTCTCACATCCTCTCACTTCTCCCTCCGGCTACTGAGCCGCAGCAGGTATTTTTCCTTCTTAAATATGTTATCCTAGAGGTGCTAGCACTGTTAGTGATGGGCTTGGCCTTGGCCAGCAGCGGACACAGGGAAAACTTCTGGCAGCTTCTCACAGAAGCCACTCCTGTAGCTGTCCCCCGCTACCAAAACCTTGCTACGCAAACCCAGTACATCATGTCATGAGACTTTACAGAGCCTCTTGCAGTTGTATGAGGATGGATGCTTCTGGGGAAGGTTCAAGCAGTGAAGGAATACTTCGATACTAGATAAGTGCTGCTGTCTTTGGGTTTTTTTTCCTTCCTTGTATTTTTTTCCTTTCAGTTTTATAGCACAGTAGGTCACTGCTCCCCTCTTTAAGATTCTGCAGCAAAGCTCTGTATTTGGAGACGATTACAGAGCATTTCGCTGTTGCTGAAGAGCAAACAGGGAAGTTAGAGAGGTGATCAAGTTCACCTTTTCAGTCTTTGTTATCTTTGCTTCTGCTGCCTGATGCTGTTACGTGGTTTGGGGGACACATGAGCACTTTCTGCTGAACGCAGAGTTGAAAATCCTAGCACCAAATGATCCACAAGCATCTCCCAGTAAATCCTAGTGCTATAAACGCGTGCCATGGGAGTTGCTCTGATAGGTGTCAACAGGCCAGACAAATAGAGGTTTGTTCAGTTGCAGCACCATCTTCAGCCACGGAGGTTTGCAGCTAACAAACAAAAGCTTTATCCCATACAACCGGAGGTTGGATGGCTTCTGGAGATGAACACAAACTTTCCTTCTTCTCCCAGGTGGTTCCATTTCGCACCATTTGGAATCTTTATTAGGAGAAGAATAAATGAAGGTTGTCCTGTCCTCTTTTGCATGGCAGAAGATGTCTTGTAGGGAGAAAAGGTTGGTATGCCCTGTTGCCGTGGTGTTACTGCTGGAGTCACCTCTGAAACCATGAGCATGTTCTTCTCTGAAGTGCATGTACATTGCCATAGCAAAGCAGTAGCCTTACCATGGGCTTGGTCACCTTGTAAACTGTGTAGAACGGGCTTGTTCAAATAATCTGAGTGTAGCGTGGTCTTGGGTTGGATATAAGAGGGGTAGAAACTCTTCCAATTTGTATCTACACGTATGGGTCTTCAGATTTATTTTTTTTTTTTAGAATCATAGACTGTTTTGAGTTGGAAGGGACCCCTAGAGGTCATCTAGTCCAACCCTCCTGGAGTGAGCTGGGACACCCTTAACTAGATCAGGCTGCTCAGAGCCCCATTTTCTGAATATTCAAGTCAAAGCAAGAGTGTGTGTGGCTTAATTTTTGTATTCCTGTGATTGTGTCTTCACACAAACATGTTCTGATGGTTACCGCAGTACATCACTGTACTTCAAAAGAACGCCAACAAAGCCCTACTCAGGGTGTGTGCTGAACGCCGCGCACTTGCATGTTCCTCCTGTTCGTGTCTGACATCACTTTGCATACTGAGACATAAGCCGTAGTACTTGATACGAGTGACAACACAAATTATGGTTGCATTATATGAATACCTTCACTTATGGATGTCCCTTAGACAAGATGGCACTGATGGTTTGGATAAAGTATCCCCTGAGTGTGTGTGTTTGTAGTGAAACTTGCTACTTAATGGTTTAATGGTGCCCTACAGGACAGTGACCGTTAGTGGTGTTGATCCTCTGTTTGCTGGGTTGAAATCCTCCTGTCACAGGTTTTAAGGCAATTACAGGTAGTGAAGTGTTGGCAATTAAGAATAAAGCTGTTCATGGAAAACACTTGTTTTCTGAAGGATGAAGTCTTCTCTGTCTTCACATATTCTCATGCTTCTCTTCCAGCTGCTGTTACAGAATCCCAGCATGGCAGGGGTTGACTGGGTCTGCCAGATATCACCCAGTGCCACCCCCCTGCCCAAGCAGGCTCACCCAGAGCAGGGGGCACAGGACAGCGGCCAGGCGGGGGTTGAAGATCTCCAGAGAAGGAGACTCCACAGCCCCCCTGGGCAGCCTGGGCCAGGGCTCGGGCACCCTCAAAGAAGCTCTTCCTCACATTCAGCTGGAACCTTTTATGCTTCAGTTTGTGCCCATTGCCCCTTGTCCTGGTGCTGGGCACCACTGAGAAGAGTCTGGCTCCGTCCTTGTGACACCCACCCTGAAGATATTTGTACATGTTGATGAGATCCCCTCTCAGCCTTCTCTTCTCAGGCTGAACAAGCCCAGCTCCCTCAGCCTTTCCTCGTAGGGGAGATGCTCCAGTCCCCTCATCATCTTTGTTGCCCTCCTCTGGACTCTCTCTAGGAGTTCCTCATCTTTCTTGAACCGGGGAGCCCAGA